TGAGTCTGAGGCCAGACTGTGGCACTGGAGGTCCTAAAAGGGAGCTGGGCTGTGCTGTGGGGCTGGGGCGGTGCTTTTGGGCAAGGAGCTTAGAGCGTCTGCTCTCCCAGGCCCTGGGGTCACCATGTTTGGGGACAGCGGTGGGCACAGCCCTCCCTGGCCGCGGTTCTCCATCCCAGCCCCTCACCCCTGCACCCAAACGTCAAACACGCTGTGTTTAACAGCTACTCAGGGCACACCTCTGATAAACACTGGGCCTGGGCGGTGCAGACCCTCGCTTGGGAGGGTGTCACCATGGCTTGTTTGTTTGGGGGTTTTTATTCTTCAAGTGGCAGCATGACGGGTGGTGTCTGGTCAGCTCTGACGCGCTCAGGACCTCCCCTTCAGAGGACGCCGAACTATAGCTTGTTGCCCTGGACTTTATTTGTTAGAGGCAGCAGAAGAAATGTACACCCCCCCTCCTCTGTGCCTCCCACGGGCTCCCAGGGAATTCTGTGCGTCGCTTTGGGTCCCATGTCCCTGTCCGTAGCCCTGCGCCAGGCCCACAGAGGGACAGATCCCTTGTCCCCAAGCAACCTCGTGCTGGCGCTGGTTGGGGTGCACCAGGACTCTGCCTCAGGTTTGCTTGGTGTTGCCTTGCTGTTTCCACTTTGCTGCTGCTGTGGAGAAACCGAGCGTTAAATAACACAGTGTTTGCAAAAGGCTGTGGAACAACCACAGCGGCTGTTCCCTCTGTCCGTCCGGCTGTTTCGCGGTGACGAGCAGCAGGCGAGTCCGGCTTTATTGTTACTGGGAAATGCCAAGTGATCAGAGCTGCCAGTTTTTTTCACCCCTTGACAAATGTCGCTCTGCAAACCACAGAAAAGAAAGAGAGGGCGTGTGACCCTGTCGCAACATCTCCAAGATGTTGTGAGCTTGTGGCCTGGTTGTCTGGGCTCTTGGGCTTTGTCCACGAGCGGTGTGAGCGCAGCTGAAGTTGGGGAACACACCACAGGACGTGGTGTCATTTTTAACAGAGGTTAGTATCAATCTCTCGTCAGGCAGCTCTTGCCAGCAGGAGAAGTCGCAAGAGGTTTCTCTGCATTGAATCGGACTTATTCAGTCTGGAAGGTCTGCAGAGATTTTGTAAAAAGCCACCTGTGGTCAGTCTTACCCAAAAGTCCATGAAAGGAACTTAATCTGTCACTACAGGAACGGCGAAAAGGCCAGACCTGTGCTTTGAAGTTCACTCGTCTCCTGCTTTCACCAAGTTTCTAGCTTCAAAAAAAAAATATTTCTGTTCTTTCCATTGAAAACTTTCTTGAAGTTAGGAAGGGCACAACCTCTTGACTCTCTGGGTCAACTTTAAACAATTCCTGACAAAGCCAGCACCTATAAATACACACATCCCGCTCTCTCCAACTCTGCTGTTACTGAACTGTGGGCTTGCTGTCTGCCTCCACAGTGAAACGCCAGATTTATCGCTATTATTAGCTGACGTGCAGCACAGAAGTGGGAGGTGTGGGGAGATGAAGCTCTCTAGAAGCTTTCTGGCCCATTCCCGTAATCGTTGCCTCTGCTATCCCGCCCGCAGGTGCCTGGAGAAGCAATCGCCACAGCGGCTCTTTGGAGCTCAGCACCATCTCACCTCCGCTTCCCCTCGAGCCCAGCAGCCGCTTTCTGATGGAGCAACGCCCTCGCCATGCACGTTGCCAGGCCGAAATCTGCCAAGGGACGCACGAGGCCGAGCTTCAGTCACTCTCCGAGTGTGGAAGCCTGCCCTTGCCGAGCGCCGTCTTTCCCGCCGCCAGCAGCTCCTTGCAGATCGCTGAGCAGCCGCAGAGCATCGGCCACAAACCCGGCGTTCCTGTCCGGCCACGTATCTCCTGCAGAAATCCCGGAGCTCCTGCGGCAAGTGCCTCTGAGGACCTGCTCGTCCCTGAACAGGTAAAAAAAAAATGGGCTGGAAGGGCGGTGCCGCGGTGGAAGCGGTGGCTGAACAGACCGACCGGCCGCAAGCGAGCGGGTCGCAGGAGGGTGCTCTGAAAATCGAACCCCTTTCTGGAGAAGAGGGATCTGCTGGCAAATTGTCCCAAAGCTGTGGCCCTGCTGAAGAGAGCTCACACATGCCACGTCCTCCCGAGAAGCTGGAAGGGAAACTGAGGCAAGAGAGCTCTTTGACACTGAAAGAGGAGTTGCCCTTGCTGCTCGCCATTCGCTCTCCCTCCGGTCAGAGATTTGAACATCGTTTCAAGCCCACTGACAGTCTCCAGGCGGTCCTTGCCGTGGCAGAACAGAAAACGTCGGCCAAATACAAAAGCTGCAGCATCGAAACAACAGACGTGCCCCGACAGAGACCTTTAGGCGCCTGGAAATGCTGCCCTCGGCCGTTCTGCTGGGCAGGATGTGTTTCTTCTGCCCAAAATCCGAGTCGGATGTTTCCTGGGCTGCCTCCCTCACCTTCCCGTCTCCGCAGCATTCCCCCTTGGAGCAGACTTGTCTCTGTGTGTTGAAATAGTATTCCAGGTGTAGGCACCTGCTACAGAAATAACACCTTTTTTTCACGTGTGCCATCAAAAATTGCTTCCTGAGCACCGACCTTTGGCCTTTTTCTTTCTTTTCTTTATTTTTTGAGATTGCTGATGTTCTTCGAAGATGGAAATTTCTGAGACCTTCTCTCTATTTCAGGAAGGTACCACTTCCCAGAGCGGATCTGGATGCGGAGGCACCTGTTTGCAAAGGTAGAAATGGAACCGTTTCACTCCGGAGGGTTCTCTTCAGGTGGTTATCATTGCCCTAAACATCATCTTCTCGAGAGTGACTGAAAAGGAGATCAAACCTGAAAAAAAACTGTCTGGAAATGACACATTAATGGATTGCAGTGAAGTGTTAAATTGCAAGAACGATGGTAACGCACCCGGGAGGGCTCAGCTCTTTCCAAGATAACTTCAGTACAGCTTTTAATATTGTGGCTACATTGTCTTTTTTAAGAGCAAATAGTTGTTATTTTGGCCCTATTGGGGAGCAGCAGGAGTTTCTACTTAAGTTTTCCTTCTCTCATTCAACTCAGGATCCATAGGTAGGAACAGATGGATAATTAAGATGGGGTGTTACAAAAGACTTTGGTTTAACACCTCAGCACTGAAATGAGTTAGTGCAAGAAAGCAGGTGCTGCTTTGAGAATTTTTAGATAAAACCACATTAATTGGATTCCACTGAGGAACTGGCTCAGGCAGCAGACCATGTTTCACTAAACCATCTTTAAAAAAAGCTGGTAGGCTAATTTGGCAGGTTTAAGATAAATACAATGTGCTCGTGCTAAAAAAAGATCTTCTGGGTTTCTAATGGAAATTCTTATGATTCAAAGGCAGTAATTCCATTCTAGAAAAAAGAAAACGGAGCACTGGCCACACAGAGGAGCCAGTTGGAGTATTTTGAGGCAAACCCAACTTTTTTTTGACCTTGGCGTGACCGCCGCCCCCACTCTGAGCAGCAGCAGCACAAAGCTGAGCCTGGCGCGACGACACGCGTCGCCTTCCGGAGCGAGCGTTGAGGGTCCAGCGGCTTTTATAAAAATGGTCCCCAGCGACGCGGCGTTACCTCCTGCCAACCCTGCTGCCCCGCATAGCGAAACGTCGGGGTGCTGGTCCTCCGAGCAAAGTATTTCTCTTGGTTCCAGTCATGGGAACTCTTTCCTGTGTGCGGTGGTTAATTCCCTTCTGGTGGTGGTGTGTGCCCTGCGCTACCGTGCCCATTCCCAGTGTTTTCCTACCCAGGTAGTACCATCAATAAAACCTTTTAGGCTGAACCTTGACCTTGGGATGATTTGTGTGAAGCAGAGGTTTAGCCAGCACTGAGAAAAGCCGTTCACGCGACGGCAAATACCTCGGGGACTGTCCGAATTGGACTTCTTTTGTCGGAGATCATCTTGCCACGTGCCTTCCTGGTGTTAACAGCTCTGTCTTGTGCTAAATCCAAGGCTGCAGCAAAGCAGCAGGGGCTGCCTGCTGTGAACAGGGACAGGGAGACCCAGAGGGGCCGACCCTTTAACCGAGAAGACAGGATACGAGCGTCCCGGACCCCAGGGAACGGCCCTTCTTGCGCTGGAGGATATTCCTCTGGAATATCACCACGCAAGATAAAGCTGAATGAGTTCAGTCCTCTAACGAACTGCCCCCGAGCTGCAGCAGCTCCCAAAGATGGGCTTTTTAATTTTTTTTTTT